TGTTTAGAGGGGAAGGAGAGAGGGAGAGAAACATCAATGTTTCTCATCCATTTGCCTCTGGTGCATCCCCTGCTGGGAACTGGCCTGCAGGGAACTGGCTTGCAACCCAGGCATGTGCCCTGACTGGGAATTGAACTGCGATCCTCTGGTTCGCAGACCTGCGCTCAATCCACTGAGCTACACCAGCCAGGGCTTTTGCATGCATTTTAAAAATAATTTCAATCATAGTATAACTTTGTCTTTTGCATTTTATTTCATATTAGATCATAAATATACATATTCTTCATAAATATTTTCATGACTGCATGATAGTCCATTTATTGGTGGATCATATTTACTGAACTACTCTTTAGTGTTGGATATATAGGTTGTTCCCCTTACTTTTCTACTTTTTAAATTGATACCCCCGTTAAATGAAATTATATATTCTGTCCAAGACTATAATTAATTTAAAGGTAGATTTCTAGACATCTAAGAGTAACATGGGTGGGCTTTACCAACATCAGTCATAGTAAAACAGCAGAAAGAGACCTGGCTGTTGTGGCTCAGTAGATCAAGCGTTGGCCTGTGGACCAAAGGGTCGCTGGTTTGATTCCCAGTCAGGGCACATGCCTGGGTTGCAGGCCAGACCCCCAGTGGGGAGTGCACAACAGCTAACCACACATTGGTTTCTCTCCCTCTCTTTCTCCTTCTCTTCCCCTCTCTCTAAAAATAAATAAAATCTTTTAGAAAACATCAGAAAGAGCTTCTGGACACACAGAAGCTATTAAGTATCCAGTTGGTATATGATTTTAGATCATATTTCTGTAAGTATGTTTTTGTTCTCTTAAGTGCTTTCTCTTCTCTTGTGTATTAGTCAGCTCTTTCTGTTCCTGGTCTAAAACCACAGACTCCAGAATCCCAATCGGTTCCTTCTCTGAACATGGCCGTTTACCTCATGTTATCTCAGCAGTTAAAACATCCTCTTTGTAGTCTTTTAACCCAGATGGAAGGTGTTTTGTAATACCACTGGAGCCCTCTTGACTAATCGTGTGGTCCAGTTGAGTTGTCCCCAGCCCCCACTTTCTGGACAGGGCTCAGCTGAGCTGCTGCAGGGGGCTGTGGACCTGCCGGTGGGAGCCGCTGTCTTCCTGTTCTGTGGGTGTTTTTTGTGGGGGGTGCAGAGAGAGTGGGGAGAGGGTACTCCTAGTTGGTGCTTCTTGAGATCTCTACCTTCTTGAGTTTCTCTTTCTAGAGGGCTTTAGCTCATAATTACATTGAAAGGTTTCAGTTGCTCCCGTATCTTTCCTAAGTACCTGATTCCTGCCTCTGAAATTAGTTAGAACAAGTTAGCCACATTTTGCATGGTGGCAAAACGCATATCCCTAATGGGGGCTTATGCTAATTTGGCCTCCTCTTTCTCTTCCCCATATTAGTGGGAGTCCTGCCCTTTTTGCCTTCTCCCACTATCTTTCTCCAGTGACAGACTTTATTTAGGGCTCGGTTGTGGTATCTGGTGCATCCAGGGCAGGAGGAGGGTGTTTCTTTTCCAGCCCCGTGGTCCTGGTTTTAAGAGAAAAATTTTGCCTGTTTAAAAAATATCTATTAAATGGGAAAATAGAGACAAATGTACTTGAACAACAACAAAAATTTATATTTTTAAAAAATATCTATTAAGGATATTTTTGTTAAGCATGCTTATCTTGTATGTCCTCTATAGTAAAAACAACAAATTTTTAGCTTGCTTTTAAAATATCGTGATAAAGCGAAACATCTCTCTGTTCAATCTGAGAAAAGATTCCAATCACACAAGCTTCTGTTTCTGTTTCCACTTGATTCTTATCGCCGAGTGCGTGGAGCACATCTCACTTGACTTCCACTCATATCACGAATGTCCATCTGTCCTTCAGGTTAATGTGAGCGACGGAGAGGAAATGACCGACTGGGAGGTGGGAGGGGTCAGGCAGGTTGTCTGACTTGTCTCCTCCCGCTACTCACTGTCCCTGATGGGGGCCTGCCTTCCCTTTAGTGGGCTGGAGCAGCCTAGAGCCCAGTGGATTGACGCACGCTCCCTTTACTGGTGCAGAGCCAGGTGGGCTGGGAGCTGCTGTGTTCTGGGGGAGGAGTCCCATGGCTCTGCTGTGCAGCACACGGTGCTTTCCAGTTGACAGTGAGGTGGGGGACGTGTCCCAGAACACGTTCCTAAGGTGCTGAATCTGCACTGCATAGTTGCTGGAAACGTAGAGGTGGGTGAGATCTCAGCAATCAATCAGTATTAGTACCATCACCTATTTCTCAGGGTAAATAAACAGTCTCAGAATGCTGAGCCAATTTAGCCTGGATCAGTCTGCTACTGAACAGGGATGGTAATTATACTAGTTGACATTTATGAAGCATTCCCTATGGACTTCTCTAAAATCTTGACATTTGACCAACCCTATTCGGTAGTAGGGCAAACAAGAGTCTCAAAGAGGGGAAGTAATTGACTGGTTTATGGTAGGCCTGGGGTATGAACCTAGGTTCTGAGTCCAGGGCCTGAACTCTCAACTACACTCGTGTGTGGGCAGGTGGAGACCCAGACCCCAGAGAGGGCAGTTGTCTTATTCTGGGACACACAGCAGATCAGCTCTCGTTCAGCACTAGGCTGTCCATGACGAGAACACTGTCTTGTCATCAGCTACAGACACTTTACCTCCAGCTTCCCTCCAGATTCAATCCTGAAGATCTGAGGAATGTCACTAACTCCATTTACTAGGAAATATGTGAGGGCTGGAATAGACTGGCGTTAAGTGGCTATGCTTTTGTAAACCTTCTGACGACTTCAGAAAGGTGAAGATGCTGCCTTGGCTGATCACTAGAAGGAAGGAGGACAGGGTTGCCCCAAGGCTGTGAAACCATGGCAGCGCCGGGTCTGGGGTGCAGGACTCCTGCGCTCTCTGTTGTTATCAGGCTTCAAAACACTTGTGTTATTTCCTTTCCAAAGCAGAGCGAGGTCGAGGCCGACTATGTGCAGGGTTCTCTGCCAAACCATTGTGGGGTCTCCCTGGCAGAGCTAACCCAACATCTGACTCCCCAAGTTCTTCACAGACAGGATCTTTCTGGTCAGCTCGATCCCCTGTTCTCCCTTCTTTGTCTCTATTTTCTTACTAGTCGAGGTCACAATGGAACTGTACCAGGGGCTCGAGGTCCTGGCTCTAGTCCTAGCCCTGTCACTGTGTACCATGTAACCTCTCTGGGAGACAGTCATGTTGTGCAGTTCCATACCCATGGAGCACAGGCAGGTTCGTCTCAGTGAGTGCAGTGTGGGTTGTGCAGTCGGCTAGACACTAGACGTTCTGCCGTGATGGAAGTGTTCTGGGACTGTGCTGTCCAGGACCGTAGCCACTAGGCACAGGTGGCTGTTGAGTCCTTGGAATGTGACCAGTGTGAATGAGGAACTGAATTCACTTAGATTTCAATAGCCAGTGACTAGTAAGGTGAGACAGGAGATGTGAATCTGTTCCTGCCCTAATCAACCTCATTTCCCACAGGCCTCTCCTCTTGCTGCGGGGAGTGGTATTCCAGTTTAAAAGTAAGTGTTTCTCATAAAACCTGGCCTCTAAATACAAGCCAGGACTTTTGTCTGAGGCTCAGCCAAAGAGGCAGTGATCAGTTGATCGATGCAGACAGTCCCTCTGAAGGGTAAAATTGGCTGCATTGGACTCAGATGTTCTGACAGTCTCACCAGTGTGACGCCTTCCTCAAAGCAATTTGACTGCATTTTTGCTTTATGAAGTTAGAACTGAAACCACCAGTGAATGTAACTTATTGGGGCTCAGGGAGGTAATCCTGTGACCTGGGTTGCTGTTCTAATGCTAAGGACTTTCAGTTGGAGGCTGGCAGAGGGGAAGGCAGTCTTCACAATGCATCTCAGTACTAACTGTTAAGGGTGCACTTTTCATGAGCAGCAGAGAACACACTCATGATGATGATATTAACCGTATTGCGTGCCTGTCACACACTAGGCCCTCTGTTAAGTGCCGTGTAACCTCCTTTAATCATCATGACATCTCTGTGACGTAGGAGCTATTAGTATTCTCATCTTGCCAACAAGAAAACTGGAGAATAGAAAGGAGCCATAATTTCCCCAGCGTCACTCAGGTAGAGCCAGGGTTCAAACACAAGAGCCTAATTCCAGAGCCCACAGTCCTCGATAAACTTGGGGGACACTGGCCTTCACTGGAAAGCTGAGTCAGGTGGGACGGTGGGGTCGACAGGCACTGGATCGACGTGGTCAGTGAGGCCTCCTCCCCTTGGTTTTAAACCGCGCTGTCCGAGCAGCTCGACAGCCGTGCAGTCCTTGGGGTGGCGAGGAAGCTGATGGCGGTCCCTCGTGCAGCCCTGCTCATCTTCGTCATCCCCACCTTCTTGACACACTCCCGAGCTGGAGTTTCGAGTGTGGGAGCCACTCACTAGCTTGTGCTGACACAGGGACGCGGCCATCGTGTGTGTGCTCAGCCCGCACACAGAGCTACTCCCGCTTCCCCTGTAGGATCGTGCTCCGTGAAACCAGGTTTACCATGGCATCGCTCCAGGAGGAGGCGTTCCGTTTGGTCTTGTCAGTCAAGTAGAGATGTTTGTGTTGGAGGTGTGCTCAGTGGTAAGACAGTGAGCAGTCACTCGGAAATGGTCCACTTCCTTTTTTGCTCCACACTCTCTCTCCTTTGTAGGACCAGAATGCATTGGAATGTCGTTTGGTTCCTTTTGGGGGGGCAGTGAAAATCGCGTGTGGCAGTAGGAAAGCTGAAAGCCAGGTGACTGGAGCCAGTCCTACTGTTGGCGATCTTGCAGTGAGACCCAAGTTCCTCTGCCTTCTGGGCATTCATTTTCTCATCCGTGAGATGAGGGATTGGACCAGACAATGGCGAAGTCTCTCTGGAGCTCTCTATTCTATGAGGAGACACTTGCTAAATTTTCAGGACGGTGAGGATGTCCCTTCCAGCTCTGGGCAGTCTTGAACATCCATGTCCTCTCTCCTGCAGGCATCCTGGCCATCCTCATCCCCCGCCTGGACCTGGTCATCTCCCTGGTGGGCTCCGTGAGCAGCAGCGCCCTGGCCCTCATCATCCCGCCCCTCCTGGACATCACCACCTACTACTCGGAGGGCATGAGCCCCCTCGCCATCGCCAAGGACGCCCTGATCAGCATCCTGGGCTTCGTGGGCTTTGTGGTGGGGACATACGAGGCTCTCTATGAGTTGATCCAGCCAAGCAGTGCTCCCATTGTTGTCAATTCCACCAGTGCCTCTGCATAGCCGTTTGGGTGCATCCCCTGCGCCTGTCCACCCCACTCCCATGTATTCCCTAGCACTTGGCCCCAGAGCCTTGGGGAGGGTCCAGGCTCTGGGGAAAAGCAAGGTTGCTGTTCAGGAAGCCCGGTACCTGGTACCTAGGTTCCCTGGGCCAGGTAGGACTGAGGGCTGGGGGAGAGTGGCTAGCAGATATGCCGGAGGCACCTTTAGTGGAAGTGCCACCATTGTTCATTTGTGCTTATTTAACCAGAACCTTAAAGCTGTTTTCCCTCATCACACCTTCTCCCTTACCTGCCTTTCTTTTCTGACCCACCTCCCTGAAATTATTCTTTTTGCATAGCTCACTTTATTTAAAAATTTTAGCATTTCATTTTCTGGTCCAGACTTAGACTAAATAAGTAAGAACTCTCTGTTTATAAAGTTGGGCTTATCTCTTTCTCATATCTCTCCCAAATATTTTACCTCAAGTCTCCAGCAGGTATCTGGACCTACCTAGTAGTTTAAACTAGCCCGCAAAGCTGGAGTTTTTAATCTTCACGCTCTCTGGCTTGCTGTGACCCTTGGCTACACTTTTCCTCTTGGAATTCCTTGTATGGGTCACAATACTGTGTTCTTAGTTGCTTTAGCTCCCAAAAGACATCAGTCACTGCCTCAATTGAAAATATTTATATTTTATTTTATTTAAAATCAGCTTTTGTTTTTCGACTCTCCTGATCGGAGGTTATTGTGAATCACTTGTTCCTCAGTCAACTTGTATCAGCTTCTCCTGCTGAAAAGAAACTTGTTCCAGGAAATGTCTGTGCAGGTCCTCAGCACCCGAGGCTGAGTACCTCAGATTGTAATCAGGATCACCTAAATGTGTACCTCTGCGGGGAGGCCTGGACTTGGCCTCCCACAGCCCAGCCTGATTTCGTACTGAGTAGATATGACGGACTCGGGAAACATCTGCTAGTGCACTAGGCCAAAGGAATGGAGGGCCGCACCTTTCTGCCCATGGGAGGCTCATGAAATGGTAGCTTTGTGAGTTCAGGCCCCTTTCTCAGCCTCAGTCCCTGGCCTGCAAACAGCATGGCAGCATTCAGTTGCCGTCACGCCAGGAAGATGCCCACACTGTTGCCAAGGGCGAGACCATGAGGTCAGTGTGCACAGACCGTCAAAATTAAGTTCAGAGAATTTCCAGCGGCTGGTTTGACACTGAGTGCGGTGCTTGGTTGTTTACAATCAGCTGGCAGTAGGGCAGACACAGTGCCCTGTCTGGCTGCCTTCGAGACCTGGACTCTAAAGTTGCCACTTAGTTGGGATGTCAGTCCCCTGTGTTCTAAACACTAACTATGATGCCTGTCCCTCCCCCTGAGTGTCAGAAGTAGCCTCAGGGTTGGCTCACCTCAAGGTCGGCCTGCAGGTGTGGGAAGAAGCTGCGGAGAAGGCAGAGGATGGTACACTGCCTTGCTTTGGCATCCCCGTCCTCCCTGCAGGTGTGAGGAAGCATTGAGAGGGGCATCGGTCACTGGCTCTTGTCCTCCTGAGCTGTGTGCAGGTATGTGTGTGTCTGTGCATATGTGGTGGGGTCCTGCTGTCCTCCACTCCTGTCGCCAGGCTCTGGCTTACTCACCCGGAGCTACAGTTTGCCCTGCAAGTTGGGAGAGCAGCACAACTTTATCAGGGCTTTTTTGGTTTTGTGTTTTACCAAAGCTCCTAAGGGCTCTGACCCACCTTTGCAGCCCCACCTTTTTTTTTTCCTTGTCTGTTCCAAAGCCAAACTTTCTTGTTGTAGTGACTCCTAAGTTCCCTAAGAATTTGCTTACAAAGATGTGATCAGTGGTGACTTGGTCCCTCTTAGGAGAAGGACATTCTTCATCCACCGTTTCTGTTCATTGGTGGTCCTGAACAGGTGCTTCCATGACCAAGATTCTAGCTGGAGGTGGCAGTCCTGCCCTCTGAAGCCTCGGGCTTAGAAACTACCACAGTGGGCTCAGGAATTGTCATCTCCTGTTTGCAAGCCTGGGCTCCAGCAGTCTTCCCGCAGTGGTCCTGAGGGTGAGAAGGTGCGTGTCAGTAGAAGTGGGTCAGATGTGTGTCCTGCCCACAGCTTCCGTGGGGGAAGCTTCTATGTGCGCAGGGAGCTGCTGGAAGCTGTCCTGTCCAGGTGGGCAGTCACACTGGGCCTCTGGTGCTGGAACTCGAGGGGTAGGTAGCACAATACTGAGCTGAAGTCTTAGCCCCAAGACTCTTTAGCTGAGACTTAGTCCTCTGGCCCCTAAGTCTTAGCTAAATGCAGGCTATTGCTTCAGGATCCCTGACCCAGAGAATGTGGTGTACAGGTGAGGTGGCTCTGGCTCTGGGGCTTCTGGAGGCTAATTCGGCTTGGCTTTCCCTCTGATCTCTTTCCTGTGCTCTGACTTGGCAGCCTGCTTGCCTGGCTGACTCCGAAGACAGGCAAGGTGAACCCAGTCAGTGGGCCTTTGGTTGTGCAGTTGCACTGCAGTTTGGCATTGAGTAAAGGGCTCAGCCAGAGGATGGCAGGAGGGAGCCCTTCCTCCTCCTCTGGAAGCAGCTGTCTGGGCCCACTGAGGGAAGCCTCCCCTTCTGCTGCCTCTGGGCCTTCTGTAGTCAGGGAGCCCTTGGTGTCTTCTTGCCACTCTTTGGGAACCAGAACCAGCTGCCCAACTACTTCCTGTGCCTTGCTCCAGTTCCTGGAAAAAAGCTCCAGTGTAAGCAGGAGTCTGATCAGGAGCAACAAAGCAAAGGCTTCTGTAGTGTGAGGCTGCATCTGCCAAGCCAAAGGCAAATCCTGGGTTTTCTGGCTTAGTACTGTTAGGTACTGTGTCTCTCCCCCACTCTCCTCACGCAGCCCCAGATTTTTATTAGCTCAGAGGCAGCTACTCAGAGCCACTTGTTCTGACCTGCAAACGCCACTGTTGGGAGCCAGTTTCCAGCTCCCTGTCGGCAGTGTACCTCCCCTTAAACGCAGGTGCTGGCCAGGAAGAGCATGACCTGGCATATTCAGTTTGCCTACAAGTTGTCACCGTACACAAGTGGCATTATTTATAGTGTGCTGCTGTCCAGCTGCTAGGACCCCTGCATCTGTACAAACCCTGGCCAGATGCATGTGAATGTAAGGCATGTCGTAGCTGAGCAGCTTATGCCCTGCCCTTCACCTCCCCAGCCAGATCCACGGGCTGGTGCTCACTACTCTCTACCTGCACAAAAGGTAAAACATGCAGTCTCAGCAGTTGGCTTAAAGTGACGATCCCACCAGACAGGTATGTTAGGAAAATCTCTCCCCTCCCCCTGTACTCCTGTCTTGCTTTTTTCCCCTCCAGTTTCTCCCAAAATTATAGCATATCACTTCTGTTTAACACTACACGTTCGCCTTATGTTTTTTGGAAGTGCAAAATCTCAGTCTGTGTCTGTTTACAGCTTTCTGTATTCACTATTCAGGGCAGGTGGGTCTGTATCGGTGGGTTTATTTCATAGCTGATAAGCGGGCCGCAGCATTCACCCTGGCCAGAGCGTGGCCCGGTCCTCACAGTGGAGACACCCAATGCAAAAGGCACGACTTGCTAATTAGGGAGTCGGCTCCAAGTCTGCCACAGAATTAAATTTTCCAAAGTACATTACAAATCTCCAGGACCGTGAGGGGAAGAAGAGACAGTGTGGTTTATCTTTGCAATTATGGTCGGTACTTTCAGGCAATTAGCCCTGCGGGCTGCAGGGCTGTTGGCTCTGACAGAGTCAGTTTGTTGCATGTCTTCCCTGTGCTTTGTACCACTGGGTCGTTCCCTGGCCAGGGACACAAATGGTGCTGATATGAGGTCATCAGAGTGTAGGGAGCGGGGTGGCGGATGAGGGTGGAGGGTGCCTGTCATAAGCTGTGTTTTTTCATTTAAATCAAGGTGACTCTGGGGAAGCCATTTTGTTTTTGTGAAGGATAGGATTATGTGGCTATTGTAAATCACTGTCAGTGGGTGTGTGAATAAGAGAAGTATAAAACCCGCGGTCCGCGGGTCTGGATAACCACACGGTGCCGTGTGTGTTGTGTGCCCACATGAACGTGTGCTCTGCATGGTCTGTGCAGGGGCTGGTCTGTGCAGGGGCTCGTAGAAGACTTCCTTTGGGCTTCTGCACACGGATCATGTGTTAAGCTTTTTCTTTTCAATAAATGAATTTTATTTTTTATTTTTGAAGGTTGTGGTCTGTGTCTTTGTTTTCACTTTTTTTTTAAATGTCACCGAGATTCCCCTTACTTGATCTTACATCAGATGGGAGCGTAGTGTGATCAGTGGAACCACCTGTGGGACCGAGCGACCCAAAGAAGAGGGCCAGGTGGCAGTTTTCCTGTTAGCCAGTCCTGCTGTTCCTGTCTGCTCTTCTCACCCTCTCTGTGGATATCGGAGGACCACACACACTCGGGGTGATGGTTAGTTTTATGTGTCAGTGGGGCTAGGCTACAGTATTGATTAACCCAGTTATTCATTCAAACAGTAACCTAGGTGTTTCTGGGAAGGTATCCTGTAGATGTGGCTAAAGTCTACAATCAGTTGCCTTTAAATAAAAGATTATCCTCAAATGTGGGTGGGCCTCATCCAATCAGTTGAAGGACCTTAAGAGCAAAACTGAAGTTTCCTTGGGGAAGAAGAAATTCTTGCCTCAAGACTATGGCACCTGTTTTTGCCTAAGAGTCTCCAGCCTGCCAGCCCCAGCAATCACTTAAGTCAATTCCTGGGAATCAATCTCTATATATGTGTATGTATATGTATATATATATATATATGTATGTGTGTGTATACATACATACATACATCTTACTGGTTCTGTTTTTCTAAAGGGCCCTGACTGATATGAGAGGTAACACCCAGTTTTCTTGAAAGGGGAAGATTGATTTCAAGACAGTGGAAGAGATGACTTCCCTTCTGCTTTTGTGACACTTAAGAAAAGTGAGGCCATCTGACTGGCCCTTAGATTATTTGAAACTGATCTTTGTTGATTACTGAATTAGACTTGTTCAGAAGCAGAGCCCTCAAAGAACACTATTAAAGTATAACACTTTCCCAAGAGAGGAAGGTAGGGTGTGTATTATAACCATTGTCAGTTATCAATATTGTTGCTGGAACTGGAGATCAAAGAGATTCAGTGACTTCCAAGTGACCAGCCACTAAGTGGCAGAGCTGGTATGTACACACACACCCTGTGGTTCCAGAACCCCAACACTTCCCAAGGCACTGGCTGCCTCCCCCTTTGTGATGGCTTCAGTAGGGAGGTCCACTTTAGGGATTGTTACGAGGCTTAGAATGTTATCAGGTGCCTGGTGCGAAGGGCTTATAAACATTGTTTGAAATATTAGCTGAACTGAAGAAAACCAAGACCCAGAAGCAGTTTTACTTGTTTTTCTGGGTGTGCATACATTATAATCATGTCTTGCTCACCTCGTATAGAGCATTCAACCCTTTTTACATTGCTTTCATGTTTTTACTCCTGCTCACGTCCATACTTAATGGTCGTAACCCTTCCTTCCAGGTAACCAGGGCTGTTCAGGTAAGCTCCCTGCACTGCCGGAGGCGTAGACTTGAGTGACAGTGGACTGAATTTGGATGCTGCTCCTGGGCTCTATACTAGTTAGGCTGGCTTCCTTAGGCTCAGCCCAGTGCAGACGCCTACTGGCGTCTTGAGTAAGAAACTGTGTGTGCTTTGCTAGACCCTTGGCTATTGGTCTCCCTGCACCATTTATTTTTTGAAAAACAATTTAAGGTGTAATCTACATATAATAAAATTTACCTGCTTTTTTAAGTGTACAGTTTGATGAGTTTTGACAAATGCATGCAGTCATTTGACCATCTTCAGTCAAGATGCAGAATGTTTTCTTCACCCCAGAAGTTCCCCGGCGCCCCTGTGCAGGTAATCCCATCCCCATGCCACTCAGCCCTTCGCAACAACTGACCCGATTTTTTTGTCTTTAGTTTTGTCTTTTCTAGAATGTCGTGTAAATGAAACCATTAAGCACGTAGTCCTTTCTGTCTGGCTTCTTTTACTTGACATAATACTTTTAAAATTCACCCTTGTTGTTACGTGTGTCAGTAGTTCGTTTCTTCTTTTTGCCAAATAACATTCCATTGTGTGGATGAGCCGTACTTATTTAGCAGTTGATGGATGTTTGGGTTGCTTCTAGCTTTTGGCTGTTATGCAAAAAGCTACCATAAATGTTCACGTACAGATCTTTGTGCAAATCTAAGTTTTTATTTCTCTTGGGTAAATACCTAGGAGTGGGATTATGGAGTTTATGGAATTATGTAATATGTATGTACTCACTGTATAAGAAATTGGAAGGTTGTTTCCCAAGTGTCTGTGCAATTTTGGATTGCTGCCAACCATTGATAAACGCTCCCATTGCTCCATGTCTGTGTTGGTCTGTACACTGCGCTCTTTTTGAGTGTAGCTGTCTTAATGGATGTGTAGTGGTACCTCCTTGTGGTTTTAATTTGCATTTGCCTAATGACTAATGACGTTCTACATCTTTTCCTGGGTTTATTTGCCATTAGTTTATCTTTTTAAAAGAGGTATTTGTTCAAATACTTTTCTTCTTTCAAAACTTAGTCTTTTTAAGAAATTTTAAGCTTCTTGGTTTGAAGTAATTGCAGATTCACAGGAAGGTGCAGAGAAGATCCCGTGTGCCCTGCTCCACGTCTCCTCCGACGTCCACATGCTGCGTAACCACAGTGCAGCGTCGAAGCCAGGACACTGGCATTGGCAAGATCCATAGAGCTCGCTCAGATCTCCCCAGGTACACACGCACTCATTCGTGTGCGTGCATGTGTGTGTAGCTGTAAGCAATTTATAACGTGTGTAGCTTCCTCCACCACAATCAAGACGACTAGCTCGTTACCACAAGACCCCTCATGCCACCCTTTGTAGACACACGTTCCGTGCTCCCCCATCTCCCTAGATCCAGGCAACCATGGATCTGTTCTTCATCTCTGCTGTCATTTCACGAACGTTATATAAATTGAATTGTGTTGTATGTGTCCTTTTGATGGGCTTGTTTCACTAGATATAATTTCCTTGAGGATCATCTGAATTATTGCCTATATCAATTATTTTTTCCTTTTCATTAATGAGTTGTATTCCATGATATGGATGTACCACAGTTTGGTTAACAGGTCACCACTGAAAGAAATTTGCGTAGTTTCCAGATCTGGCTATTACAAATAAAGCTGCTGTGAATATTCATGTACAAGTTTCTACGTGAAAATAAACTTTATTTCTCTGGGAGGTATACCCAAGGGTGCGACTGCTGATTTGTAGAGTAAGCCCATGTTTAGTTTTAGAAGGAACTTCCAAACCAGCTTCCAGAGTGACCATACCAGCTATGTATGAGTGATATTGTTTCTTTGTATCCTTGTCAGCATTTAATGGCATTATTATTTTTTGGCAGTTATTAATTGTGCAAATGTTTTGTTAGATATAAGCCATTAAGTATTTAATTTTTCTTGGAGTGATTGTAAATGGCAATGTGTTTCTAATTTCAGTCGCCACATGTTCATTGGTAGTGTATAGAAATTGATTTTGAGTGTTAACCTTGTATCTTGTGACCCTTCTGTACTCAATAGTAATAGTTCTATGGATTTCTGGTTAGATTTCTTGGGATTTTTTATGTAAACAGTTGTCTGCAAATAGAGATAATTGCATGTCTTCTTTTCCAATCTGTATACTTTTTTTTGCCTTATTGCAATGGCTACAACTTCTAGTTAGAAAGCAGTGGGTACAGTGAACACTCTAGCCTCGTTCCTGATCTCATTTGGAAAGCATTCAGCCTTTCACCTTTAAGTATGATGTAAGCTGCAGGGTTTTATAGAAGTTTCCCCCTGTTTCTGTGCCCAGAGATTTTCTTTATCGTGAATGGGTGTTGAATTTTGTCATGCTTTTTTGGCATCAATTAATAAGCTTATACACTTTTTTCCTTCACCTCTTGATATGGTAGGTTAATTATATTGATTTATTTTTGAATATTGTACTAGCCTGGTTTACCTGGAATAAATCCCACTTGGTCATGGTATAGTATGTTTTTTATATTATTGGATTGTCTCTTGTTTTTTACTCACCCTGATATTTACTCTGACGAACGTAGAATTCAGAACGGTGCCTTTATATAAATGTGCAGACTGTCCGCCATGACTGCTATTCTTTTTTTTTTTAAATATTTTATTTATTTATTTAATTTTTTAGAAGGGGGGGGGGGGTTTTGTTGGTTCTTGATATAAGGATGCTTGTGCCTCAGGCCAGGTGCCGGCCGCTGTGGTGCTACATGAAGGCCAGTGTGGTTCCTTAGGTCAGAGTTTCTCATCCTCGGTATATGAACATTTAGGGCCTAATAATTTTTCGTTGTGGGGGCTTTTCTGTGCCCTGTAGGATGTTCAGCAGCCTCCCTGGCCTCTCCGTACTAGATGCCAGTCACACCCTGCCATTTGCGACAACCAAAAATGTCTCCAGATACTGCCGCAGGTCTCCTTGCATGTGGGGTAAGGTGGGGAGGCAGTGGGAACGGCACCCCCCTCCTGTTGAGAACCACTGTCTTAATCTATTTAGCCTCTCCCCAGCCTCGCTGGGGGGACATCCTTGCATCTTGGCCATGGAACAAAGGTAGGCGTGTGGTCAGGGGGACTGCAGAAAGATCTTCCTTTTTAATAGTGATGGTGAAATAAGTATCTACGATCTCTTGAGCATTCACAATGCCAACTATGTTAAGCCTTACGTCCTTTAATACTTAGACTCAGTGAAGGAGGGTACTGGTGATATCCCGGTTTGCAAACTGAGACAGGAAGTTGAATGACTCGCCCAAGGTCACATGTTTGTTATGCGGAGCCAGCTCTGTCTGCCTCCAAACCTCATGTCTCTGCCCCTGAGATCTGCTTCCTTGCTCCTGATTCTGTCACTGCTCCCCTCCCCTCAGCGGACACAGCACGTTTCCAGGCCCTAATCTGGGTATCTAAGTCCTCCCACATTCTAACTTGCCCATCAGAAATACCCACCATTGCCCAGATGCGCAAGACATTTAGGCCCTCGCTTTAGACTGTTCTCTTAGCCTCGCTGACTCTACGCTTAGTGCTAAATCTGAAGTTCAGCTTTAAGACCCAGCTCAGCAAACTCACAATTACTAACAACCACACCTGAAACAAAAACAAAAACAAACTAG